ATGAATATTTATTAATAAAGGCTAGCTTAAAACTAAAAGCTAGTATTTTCCTTTATAAATAAAATACGGGGCGTTACACTTAGTGTGCTGACAGTCGTTGCACCTCGCGATGTAGTCCCGGACCGTGCCTTGTTGTCCTGGACAAAAGAAGGTATTGGCTATTCTCATCCAGGTGCATTTCCTCCAATCTTGTAGTCGTGGAAGTGCTGCATGATCTTCTCGCGTAGCTGTCCACTATTGGGAACGAACACTCGACCTCGATGTAGTAAAAGGCTGCTGTGCAGCTCATAATCAGTAATGGTCCCTCTTGCCTCGATCTTTTGACGCACTTCCTTGCAATTAGTATCCTCTTCTTGCGCCTTTCGAACTTTCTCCCAAATTGTCCATGTTGGTCCAGTGATAGCATCACGTTCAACCACATCTGTCCGTCGAGATAGGGTATCAGCTACAACATTCTGTCGTCCTGGCCGGTAGAATATCTCAAAGTCGAACCCCATAAGCTTCGACACGAAGTTCTTCTGCTCGGAAGTAACGATCCTTTGCTCGAGTAGATGCTTGAGTGGTTGCTGGTCGGTCACAATCCGAAATCGTCGCCCCAGCAGATAGGGTCTCCAGCATCCCACAGCTTCGACAACAGCTAGCATCTCTTTGACGTACACAGATAGACCACACCGAGTCGTGCCTGGCGCCTTGCTAAGATAAGCTAAGGGTCGCCCTTCCTGCAAGAGCACGACTCAAATCCCAATATCACTAGCATCAGTGTGTACCTCGAACAAGACATCAAACATTGGCATTACGAGTACTGGCGTTATAGTCATGGCGCCCTTTAGTTTTTCAAATGCCTCCTCGCTAGCCTTGGTCCATGTGAACCCTCCTTTCATGGTCATCTCTGTAAGGGGCTTGGCAATGGTTCCATAATCCTTCACAAACTTCCGGTAATAGCCCGTGAGCCCTAGGAACCCTCTGAGTTGCGTGAGGCTCGTTGGCTTGGGCCAGTCGACCATCGCCTCTATCTTCTTTGGATCAACCGTCACGCCATTATGAGATATAAAGTGCCCTAAGTACTCGACTATCTCCTGTCCGAATGAGCACTTAGACGGCTTGATGTGAAATGAGTTAGCCTCCAAGACTTCAAGCACCACTCTCAAATGCTCTAGATGTTCAGCCCATGACTTCAAATATACCAGTATATCATCAAAGAAGACTAAAACAAACTTACGTAGATGTTCCTTGAAGATAGAATTCATAGCAAACTGGAAAGTGGATGGGGCGTTGCATAGCCCGAATGGCATCACCAAATACTCATAGTGTCCCTGATGTGTACGAAAAGATGTCTTCGGTATGTCGGCTTTGTGGAGCCGAATCTGATGATAACCAGCTCTCAGATCGAGCTTCGAGAAGTAACGTGATCCAGCTAACTCGTCGAGCATGTCGTCGACACTTGGAATAGGAAATTGATCCTTGATAGTCGCAACATTCAGAGCTGGGTAGTCGGTACAGAACCTCCACGTGCCATCATTATTTTTAGCTAACAGTACTGGTGAAGAAAACAGACTCTTGCTATGCTGAATTAACCCTGATTCTAGCATCTCAGCCACTTGCCTCTCAATCTCAGTTTTTTGGAAGTGAGCGTACCTATAGGGATGGACGTGCACTGCGTGCTGCTCATTAATCAAGGGTATGCGGTGTTCGAACTCCCGGTGAGGTGGTAGGCCCTTGGGGTTTGCCTAGCACTCCTTCGAATTCCTCAAGAAGCTCGCGCACATCGGCTTGCTGCTGTCCGGCCTCTTCCGTGTGCGGCTCCCTACTTTCGACTACTACCGCGAATATTTGACCACCACTTCGCCAAACTCTTTGGATACTCTTCAACCCAACTTCTTTAGTTCCTTTCTCAGTGCCAGTGCTCAGGGTGACTTCCCGACCTCCAGATTTGAACTCCGTAACTCCAATTCGGAAGTCGGTGGTCACCTTGCCTAATCCTTCGAGCCATTGGACTCCTAGCATGACATCAGGTCCGACTAGGGGTAAAGCATAGAGATCAGCCTTTACCGTAACTCCTTGCACTACAAGAATAATCATTTTTAATGACGATAATTTTTGTTGCTATGTCGTCACAAAAAATACCGTCACAATAAGAGGTATTATTGTGACGAAATTCGAACATATAGCGACAATATTAGGACATTATTAGCGACGGACATAGCGACAAAAATTATCGTCACTGAAAATGATTATTCTTGTAGTGTTGGAACTTGATTGGCACCTTCCGAAAGGATTCAGTGCATTGCAGCCTCTCACCATTAGCAACTCGTACCTCAAAAGGCTCAATCTTCGTGGTTGGTAAATTCAACTTCTGGGACATGTCAGCATTAATGAAGTTGTGTGATGACCCGTTGTCTACGAGCACCATCACCCTCGTCTTTGACCCTCTAATCCCTGCCATTGCGTGCATCAAAATTTCTGCTTCTTCGTCGGGCACTTCAACCTCATCCTTCTGAGGTGGTTCTTCCTCGACCTCAGATCCTTCCTCATCAGAATTAGCAACTTCGATCACAAAAGCTTGCTTACATTGATTTCCTGGCGTAAATTTCTCTTTGCATTTAAAACATAGGCCCTTCTCTCGTCGACACTTGACTTCCTCGGGAGATAGCCGCTTAACTACTGGCCCTGTCGGTCGGGCACTGACGTTCGGCTGCGCACTTGACGTTGCTTGGCTCGTGCCTGTGCAACGCATGTCGGTGAATCGGGCGTCTGCCCGTCCCCTTCGTGTTGCGACTAGGTGATCCTCACGTCCTCGGGAAACTTCCATAGCGACGTGCATGGTGTATGGCCTCTCTAAACAAACTTTTGTAGCAAGATCGAATTTTAGTCCACCCACAAATGCTCCTACCAACGCATCCTCGGGCCAATCACGCACACGGCATGCCAGCAGTTCAAACTCCCTGATGTATTCGTGCAAGCTGCCTGTCTGTCGTATGCGCGTGAGAGCCTCGTTATAGTTATGGTAGTCTGATGTACTGAACCGTACAATAAACTCCCTCTCAAAGATATCCCAAGTGATAATTTGTTGTTGTTTGCGGTAGATCCTTGTGAGCCATTGCCACCATACATTAGCCTCACCATCAAGATAGAATGTTGCGTACCTTACTCGATCATGGCCTTCGGTTTTGTTGAGTTCGAAGTATTGCGCAATACGGTTGAGACAAGCCTCCGGATCACTACCCGTGAATGTGGACATCACAAATCTTGGCTTGTCGGGCCTCGGACACTCTCGGTAATTGGATGCCTGCGATAGCTGGTCGAACTCATCCTCGTGCTCGTAGTCTTCTCGTCGCCGCTCCCCGTCACACTGCTCGTGCGCGCGCCACTCCTCGCGCCGTGGTGATGGCGTGCGCTCGGCGTGTCGGCAATGTTCGCGCCTTGGATGGTCGTCGCGTTGCTGTGGTCGTTGTTGTTTGAACGCGCATAAGACCTCTTATATTCGTTGCTCGAGTCGTGCCACGGCGGCGTTGGTGTTGCCTTGGCCTTCGTCGAGCGATCCAAGCCTTCCCTCCATAATTCCGCTCATACTTCGCATCTAGATGTCAAGATTATCGATCTTGTCCTTCATCTCTTTATTGGCCATTGCTTTCTTCTCTTCCCTACGCTCTTTGCTTCGAGGACTCGTGATAATGATGATATATATATTATATATATATATATTTATATATTTTTTTATAGGGGGGGAGGGGGACGAAAAACAAGAAGAAAAAGAAAGGGAATGGGGTAGAAGAAAAACACACAATCTAACACCTCTCAATGAAAGCACCAATAATGAAGATCGTGTGTTTCGATTGCCGATAAGCCACTAGCCCGCGCCTTGAATCGCCGATAGGTGTTCTTCGAGCCACAACAGCGCCTCTTGGAACGAATAAAATTGCAATAGAATTTTGGTGAAAAACTAAAGCAAAGTGGAAGAACAAAAGTTCAGGTTTCTATTCTTAAAATTGATGATGAAAAATAACATGGGGATGGGGCCTTTATATAGGCACAAAATATTTCTAAGCCTAATCTACCTAGGAAACTAAATAAGCAATAAAATATTAAGTGTCCTAATTAAGCTAGATCTCATAAAGAAAGTTGGAAACTAAATAACTTGTTGTGAACTCTAAGGAACTCTCTTTCTCTCTTTATTCTCTCTCGCACGCACGCCCTTGCACTGCCTCACTTGCGCGCCGCCTTCATTGGCCCTAGTCCTCGAGGACTAGGGCACCGCCTTTCGCACGTGCCTTGTCAGCCGGCGTGGTCAGCACGTCATTGCCTTGCGCACCCATCCCCTGCGCGTGACCTGCCGCTAGTCCGCATTCCTCAAGGAATGGGACTTCGCGCACCGCGCGTGCTTGTGCGTTGTTCGTGTCTCTCGCGCGCTACTCCGCTGTGCTCGTCATGCGCACGTCTTCGCCAGTCGCCCGCGTCCCGCTCGCGCACGCCAAACGCGCATACCCGTTGGCCAGCTCCCGCTCGCCCATCACGCATGCTAGTTGCGCGCGTTCGTCCTCGCCCGTTATCAGGCCATTTTCGCACCCCTCGCGCGCACTGTGCTCAAGTGCGCGCATTTCTGCCGTCTCTCGTGCAAGCCTCTTACGTGCGTGATATGCCCGACTCGCGGCGTTCTTGAGCTGCCTAGCCACTTCCACATCACAACGCCCCAGCGCGCACGCCAGCGCCCCAGCGCTCAGCACAGAGCCACAGCGCAGCACGCCAGCACCCCAGCGCGCAGCACCACAGCGCCCCAGCGCCGCGGCCCGCGTCCTAGCGCACCCGGTGAGCCCGACAATGCCCCGCAGCACCCGACGAGCCCGACAGCACCTCGCAGCACCCCGACTGTGCCCAGCCGTGCTTAGACCAGGCCAGCAAGCAGCCCGGGCCCGTCCCAAGCCTTCCTTGTGTTTTTTCGAAACCGTAAATGTGTTTTTGACCCATTTTACCTTCTTTTGGCGTACTAAGTCTATATGTAGTATTTATATGCGCTTTTGTCGAGTCTAAGCGTTAGGTCCGAGTGTTCCAATGTCCACAGAACTTCACGAACTACTTGGTTGAATCAAGTTTGACCAAGTATGACTGTGTATTCCCTTTAAGGTCAAGATAGGTGTTGATCTTAGTATATCAATTGTTGTAGGTGCTTGACGAGTCGTGTTCGCCGCCTACTCCTGATTGTGTGTTGTTCCTTGCTGTACCAGGTGGGTTTACCTATAAAATTTGTTATGTCGTTTGTGTTTACTTTAATATTGGGTTGGCATGATCTAAGTATGCATGTAAACCATGTAGCCTATGGGCGTGAGCCGATTCGGCCGTCAGTACGGTTGTCCCCGTCGATGTAATACGGTTACTCTTGCGAGGTAAGTCTCCCTAAGACCTAATGAAAGACCGTGTCCATGGCGTGGCACGTAACCCCCACGAGTTAGGGTAATGAATCCCCTTTCCGTGGCTAATGAAAGGTGTGTGCACATGGGTAGTATGATATGTTGTGTTGTGATATGGAGATGTGACATAATAATTGATTTATGTTCATGCCGCGACCATACATTCTTTAAATTATTTATTATTGTGTTATACGTGCATAATGGTGAGCACTCATTTTTATCTTGTGCTCATCCCCACCTGCTCTTCACATATGCAGGTTAAGCAAGTGCCGGGTGACGAGGAAAGACGAGTGGGTCGGTCTTTTGATTATGCTTATTTATTATGCTTCCGTTTAAGAATAACGTGTGGTTCTTGTGAACCTCTTTTGGTTGAGACGTGTTGAACCGTTTTGAAAACTTATGGTTTTGGGGATTATTGGACCAATGTTTCGTTTGGATATTCGTATTGGATATGTTTCTCGAATATCACGCGTTCGATTATGCATGCTATAATGTTTAGCTAATAATCATGTGGAATTGATGTTTTAAGGGTTAATGAAAACTATGTGAACAACCAGATATGGCTTGGTTGATGTTAAATATTGTTTAACACCCATTGGATTTTGAAAATGATCTCGAAAAATTATTACTTGATTTTTAGAAAGCCCGGGATTTCTTTAAAATCAAAGTGGGGTGTTACATGATGGTAGCCAGACCTCAGATAAATCTTAGAGAACACGCTGGTACCCCTCAACTGGTAAAACAGATCCTCGATCCGGGGTAGTGGGTATTTATTCTTCACGGTTAAGTTGTTCAAGTCCCCGTAGTCAATGCACATCCGCATTGACCCATCCTTCTTCTTGAGGAACAGCACGGGCACTCCCCAGGGTGAAACACTCAGTTGGATGAAGCCAAGGTTCAAAATTTCCTGGATTTGCGACTTGAGCTCTTGCAGCTCCTTCGGTGCCATTCTGTACGGTGCCTTCGAGACTGGGCCGGTTCTGGGAACCAAGTCGATAGCGAATTCAACCTGTTTGTCCGGCAGTCCACCAGAAAACTCATCCGAAAACACATCCACGTACTCGCATACAATGGACATACTCTCCAGAGACAACTTCTTCTTTTCTTCGGCAACCATATTCACCAAGTAGCCTCGACAGCTACCCTTTGCTTAGGTTCGCATCACCTTCAATGAAGAGATAACCCTGAGCACGGGTCTCGTCTTTGCTCTAAAAAAGGTGATCGGCTGGCCGTTGTAACACCCCGAGTTTTATTAATAAAGGAAAATACTAGCTTTCGAGTAAAAGCTAGCATTTGTTAATAAATATTCATATTAATGTCAAGTCTAAGCTATTCAGCCAGTTAAATTCTAAGTTCGACATTAAGTCGAAAAGTATATTTCCGGGTAATTTTATTTATTAACTGAGTCAATAATAGTAATTAATCTCGTTCTATTTATTTTAATAAATGGACGTCAGCAAGTGGGGATTAATTATTTCAATATAGATGTATTAATCGAATTGAGAATATTCCATTAATCGTCAAAGTTGAGTTCAAGCCAATTATTCAGTTTCAGTTAAAGTTCGACTTTTAGTCGATAAGATATTCGGTTTAATTATTTCAGTAACCGAATAAATTTTAGAAATAATTCCAATTCCTTTTAATATATGAGTTTGGAACTAATAAGGTTAAATTGAGGTTATTCGAATTAAGTTTCGAATA